ACAGTTTCGACTTTTGGGAAAGCAAGGTTATGTGAAATTCAATGGAAACGTCGGCTCAACTCATATCATTGTGGGAAAATTCTACTACCAGTCCTTCAGCACCTTAGATAAAATAGGGTGAATACATCTATAAAGATGCTCATATGGAAATTGCCTAACGTCGTCGAGTGTACTAGAAAACACATGTTTGCTTAATTGACTATACAACTAAAAATGAGTCTGAAAAGCTACTCATATGGAAATGAACTACAGTCTTCAATTGCAATAGGAAACATGTCTTTGCCTTATCGGCTGTCCCGCTATAAATGATAGTTTGGAAAACTTTCATATGGATAGATAGCGGTATTTCTTAGTTGTGCAAACGGCTAAGATAGATCAATCTGGAGCCCTTCTACTTTATCAGGGCAACTGGAGGTCGACATTAGCCTGGAGAGAGGATAGTCCAAGGGATCGAGGGGTAATAAGCACCGAATTTGCCCTCGAGGTAACTGGCTTCGGCCGGAGTGGCTCGCCTCAGCACTCCAGGATCGGAGAGAGCGGTACGCAGAAAGTTGGCCAGAACAAAGATGAATTGGATGACGGCGACAATGGCGATGGCGGGAGACAGACGCTGGGCGAGCAAACGGCACTCGAAAGCAAAGAAAAAGGCAGAAACCGTCAATATTAGGCAAAGAGAGAGCCAGAAGACGTAGACATTTCGCGCCATGAGACAGCGACCACGGCAAAAGAACCTGTTGCGGCCCGGATGCACTTGGTAATAGGGGAGAATGGAAGAAATGTCGACAGCATCAAGTTGGGTTGCGCCTAGAGAGTCGAGTTGGCAATAGTCTGGAACAGCAAACTTTAATCCGTTGCCACCGCCACCGTCATCTCGTTCAATGTAGGCTTCAGCATCACCGAAAACATCTCCCGTCGGGTCTAGTGGAGTGATAGAGGCGCGGTCATGGATGATGCGATGGCCCACTTTTGAAGAGACATGAAGGAAGACAAAATGAGAAAAGTGGGACGAAGAATAAAAGAGAAATTTTTAGCATAAGTTTATGCCAAAAAACAAAAAGTTCAAGAAGTTACGCATTTTTAACAAGCTTACTTTCTAAATGATGGTATTTTTAATATGATATTAGTAGGTTTATAGACCATCGGAAGAGCGTGAATAGGAACTTGATACAACTTAGCTCGCTAATCCTAAAGTAAGGACTGATAATTTAGTATTAAATTAACCTTTTCCCCCAGGATGGAATGCAGTTTCAGCTTAGGTTTGTCATAACAGTCGAAAATGCTGTTCATATAAATGATAAGAATGCTTCGAGACAATCTCCATTTTTGAAGAGACCTTCATTTCGTATGAAAGTGTATGAAGAAGAGATTTGTATGTTGACATAACCAGAAGACGACGGCTGAATCCCGTTGTACTACTACTACGTTTAGGCAGACGCAGTCCTCGCTTCGGGTGGAAACGAGCCGAGCTTTGGTCCATCTTTTGCTGGACATTATCAGAATTGGAACTCATTCTTGTAAAAAAACTCAGGATAACACTTGTTCGAGAAGACTAACTGGTTCTATCTTAACGCTTATATATTGAACAGGCATAGATAGGTATATGATGGTTTAGCTAATTATCTTTCATACTGCTCCTGCTGCTTTTACTCGGGTGCGATCAAAAAGACTAATGTCAGGCTCTGATCATCAAGGCTTAATGGTAAAAAGAAAACGCTCTGACTGAGACTGCATAAGTCCGTCAGCAATTATGGTTAAGACAGTGAGATGTAAGCTTGCGGGTGTGAGTCAAGTTACGAAACCACCTGTACTAACCTCTCAGTCTAGGGTCATTAACTTTTAACCACCCAGGGAGAGGCATTACGGAGGCTGCGTAATCTCGTACATCTGGTATGGTTAATGAGCATACTATAACATGTTGACGAGTGTGAGTGAAGTAAGAATCATCGCTGAGCAGACAAGGTGAGTCGCCTTCTTTTTGACATTATTTCAATAATCTCTCTCTCTCTCTTTCAATCTACCAATCAAACATAAGTAGTTCTTACTCATCTTTCCACCACCGTTCCTCACATTCAACGTATTACCTAATCTTTTAATTTTAATAGCCTCT